CCCCTACATCAGGACACAGTAGTGACTTTCATTTTGCGACAGGGTCACTTTAAAGATTTGACACATTGACACGTTTGTGGGGTTTTTTTCGGTTTGAGTTTCCGTGGGAAAATAACGGTTTGCTAAATAGATATTAAAAAAAAATCTTCAGTAGCAAAAAAAATTACAAAGCGCAACGTCTTCGTTTCCCTATTATTATTATTTTTTTTTTTTAATGAACTCGTCAATAGGCGATATCTGATCTTTTCTGATAAACCATCAATTCCCCGCATGACACCACAGAAGATTCGACCAGCCCTCCTTTATCTTACAACCCCCTCCCTCTCCTCTCCCCTCTCCGCTTTTCAGAACCCCTCGGATGATGGATGCTGCAAGTTGTCATGATGAACTGGGAAGGAATCCTGCTTCGGAGAAGGAATTAAACGTCTCGCAGAGAAGAAAACACGGGAAGAGTGGAATATAAAAGAAGGAGAAGAAAGATACAGATCAGGTAAGAAAAAAAAAAAAGAAAGATCATAAATAAAATGAGGATCTGTAAGAATTTGTGACCGGGGCGAGGGTACAAACCGAAGTTTTAAAATGATTAATTTTAAAAATAATAATAATTAGAATGCTACGCCGTGATTTGTTTTTTTTTATTTGTATTTAGGAAAACAAACATATTTACCTTTCAACATTTGATGGACTATAATGATTGTCGGCTGATAGCTGTCCTCATAAATTGCAACTATTTTAATTACACGCGCGCAGCAGAAGTAGATGGAGGGCCATTCTCTTACCTCTCATACCGAGCCGGAGATCTTATTTTTCCCCATGGGCCAATATGTCTTAATTGGCTGGGATGCAATATAACAAACGTGTTGTACAGGATTCTTTTAATATGTGATTTATAAAAGCAGAATAACTAGAGGTAGCTAGAGGTTTAGGGTTAGGGTAAGGATTTAGTCAACATTCTTTATTTATTATTTTTGCTATAAGTATTTTTTTTAATAAGTACATTAATAATAATAATAGTAATAGTAATCATAATAATAATAATAATAATAATAGTAGTAGAAGTAGTAATAGTAATAGTAATAATAATAGTAGTAGTAGTAGTTATAGTAGTAATAATAATAAAAATAATA